TTTTTTTAAGCTCCAATCTATTCGTGGGGAGCATCACATGCTGAGAACCGGGCTCAGCGTCCCTCTGAAATACAACTGAGAATATGTAACATGAATATTTGAGATACCGGGGCCATTACCCGGCTTTGGCTACGAAAATTTGAGTTACTTAACAAGTTACTACGTCAGACCTCAGAAAAATTCAGAAACCGACTCAACCCCCCCCATCAATCCTCTTTACCACACTCCGGCAAGACTGTTCAAGGCTGCTCCAGGGACAATGAGATTCTGCACCTGAAAGGAAGGGAGAGGGGGCCCAACCCAAGATGGACATCAGAAGCAACGACTCTTGAACTAAGACATGGAAGGATCCGACGGAATACTGCACACAACAACATGGAGTCAGCCACAAGTGTCTCACAACAGTATACTATGATAGAAGCACAAACACATGATACAATGGACTCAATGTACAGTAGGCTACAGGATAGGATAGAATGGCTCAATGTACAGTAAACTGCAGCCGTGTATACAGCGACACTGCACCGGAGTGAGAAAACATCAATGGCCCCGTCCATGATCTGCAATCATGACAGCAATAAAGAGATGGCTCGATCCAAGATAAACTGTAGGAGTAACGACCCCCTTTTTTTTTTTTTTTTTTTTTCCAAAGAAAAACGCTCCATCCATTGGTGGGGAGTAACGACCCCCAATACGGACAAAGCCACACATTACACAGCAGGATAGAGTGAACCACAGAACAGCTAACAAGGTTGCATGACAGACAACACAAGACAGATGAGCACAATGTATAGTAAAACTGCAACCTTGTAAGACTATCTAAGCACACTGGACCAGAACTGCGAAGTGGCCTCTGCCCGTAATCATCAACAATCCCACACTTGGCATCCAAATCATGTACTATTCGTGGGACGCTGGACCCGTTTTCCAGCAGGTGATGCTCCCCACCAACAGATGGAGCCTTCCCCACAGGCCCACTTAACGGGGATGCTCTTATCACCTCGTTGTA